TGAACAACAAAGCAATAAAAAAGAAAAAAAAAAAAAAAAGTAAATCGTTGTCTAAGAAAATTGTGTGTAAGACTATTCTTTTTCAAGTAGTCAATTTAATAATCTTTAATATAAACAAATGAATTGTCGGTGCCGACATTCTCGGAAAAAACTATAATTACTATAATATAATACTTTTAGAAAACAGGTGTAGTTTATATGCTTTATGGAATATTATTAACATTTAAATTTTTATTAATTTGGAAACTTAATCTAATTTAAAAAGGAAATCATGGCTATATAAAACTTCAATATATTAAGAATATTATATATCTTACTCTTACTCGAATTAGATATTTAATTAATGTTGTTGTTCTCTTTCATCAATATTTTATTATTAAATTTTAAAAGACAAAACTACCAAGATACTCTCTTTGCCGTTTCCCTTACCATCTCCTCTTGGAATTTTTTTATAACTTACTAGTTACGAGTATTAGCAGACACAAAATATTTTATCGGTACAGGTTTTTAATCAAATTATTACAAACGGCTATCGTAGTTCCTCTATCTTTCCACGCTCGCATCTCCCCTTGGCGTTGTTAGTAACCCTAAATCTAAAATGTTTGTTACTAGGATTCTTCTGTAAAAGACAGAAGTCTCAATGACACAAAGCAATGAAAAAAAAAAAAAAAAAAAAAAAAAAGGAGAATTCACTCTTTGAAAGGAATAGTAAAGCAAAACAATGATAATAATAAGAAAAGAGAATAGCTATATATGACAATATAAGGAGAACGTTGTACTTACTAGTTTCTTAGGTACAGTATCTCCTTCATTCGGTTTCTTCATGAATTTTTTTTTGGTAACAGAATTTTGTTTCTTTTGGATATGAGGAGAACAACATAATACATGGACTGAGTTAACCAATCACAGCCCCCCATAACAAGGTAGGAAACCACGTCGCAAAATATTTTTTATGTTCTATAATATTTTCTCTTTTTTGGGTTTTCCTTAAAATGATTTTTTTATCCAAAATAACACAACTAATATTTAATTTTCTTTAATTAAAAATTGGGCTGAATTGATATTAAAATAAAATTTGATATTAAATTAATCAATTGATTGTTAAATGCAAGTAGGAAAGAAAATTGTGCACTATCCCTCATGTACATAGATTTTTTTTTTTTTAATTCATAGGAAGATTCAATGGGCCGAAATAACATTGACGATTATATAACAGGGATAACTTTTTCATTAATTTATCAAATTAATAAAAATTATCATAATCGAAAAGATTCAAACTTGAAGTTTTTCACTCTTTAAAATCAGATGGCACGTAATTGATTTATACATGTAGATATTTAAAACATTGGATATTAGCATTAATATTAGGAAAGGTAAGTGAGTGAACAATGATAAAACAAGGCATGAAATGACTTGATGTTAAAAGTGTAGGGTCCTAACACCAGACATAACACGTGGAACGCGTGTCCCACCATAAATCAACCTACTTGTCTATATTATATCTCCACTGCCCTTTCCACAAATTAATGCTGTATTTTACGGTAATTGACAGTAATATTTAAGAAAACAAAATCAGTTAAAATTCAATTTTTAGATATTCAAAGTATTTATAAAATCTTCATTGTATTACTTATTATTATATTGACATATTAATGCTTCTTATTCAATCTCCCGTTAACAGGGGTGGACACGGTTTCGAAACCGTCGGTTTCTGTTCCAATTTTGGAATCGAGCCGAAAATTAATGGTTTCGATTACGGTTTGAAAGCGAATGGTTCCGATTTCGATTTCGATTCCTCAATGATTCTAAAATCAACGATTCCAACCGGTTTTTTGACCGGTTTCGGACTGTTCTGGTCAGAACTAAAACCGTCAGTTCAGACCGAAGCTGAAACTGCATTTTCACAGTTCCAAAACTGGTGGAACCTGAACCTAACCGGTTCGGACCGATTCCGATTCTCACTAGTTAGGAACCGATGGTTCTAGTTTCGAAAACTGAATTTTGGCCACCTCTACCTGTTAGATATAGGTATTTACCAAACTCAATAGCAGATCCCATACCCAATACTTTTAAAATATGTTGAATGCATAATCTTAGATCGAGGTAATATTGATGCCCATATTTTACTATGTAGAAAACTCAAAGTAATAAGTGGAGGATTCATAATTTTTTTTCTGAGGATCAATATTAAAGTATTGATAACTAAAACATAGAAATAGGGAAGGTCAATTGAATAATTACATTATATATATATATATATATATAATTGTGAAAAAAGAGCTATCAATTGATCTCTCCTTTTATGAACAAATCCGCCACCGAACACCATCCGATCTTTCACTTAACATGGTTGCTATTGTATGATAATTTGGAGTAACATTGTATATAAGAAACACAAAAAAAAAAAAAAAAAAAAATAGTGATTAAAATATATTTTGTTGATGTTTTGCAGGTATAATACCAACCCAATTAATTATAAAACTAAAAAAAAAAAAAAAAATAGTGATAAAATATATTTTGTTGATGTTTTGCAGGTATAATACCAACCCAATTAATTATAACTCTATGTATTAACAATAATTTTTCATCCAAAAAAATTTTTAGGTCTCTTTCTCTTTTCTTTCTAGTTTTCTAACTCTAGTTTTAATTGGAGCTGCCGTTGTTTATTAGAGGTAGCTCCTACCTCCTACTTTCTACTATCTCTTTCACTTTATCTTTTTTTATTTTTAATTTTCTTTTGCTTTAATAAACTCATATCTGTCTTCTTTGTTTTATTATTATTGATTGTCTCCATATTTGGAATTTTTTTTTTTGTTCCTTCTTTGTGAGAGTTATTACTAAATAAAACTATGATATTTGATTTTATTTGGCTGGAAACTTTAGATTTTGATTTGCATGTATGAATCTTCGATCGATGGAGCTGGTAGTACGGCATGTTCCTCTATTGATGCTATTGAAGGTAGTACGGCAAAAACTCATCTATTTTTCATGATATATTCCAAATTATTAGAAAATAATTCAGTTATAAAATATCCAAAGAAATTATTATTTTGACGTCTAAATCAATTAAGGAACTAACTAGTGATATGAATGATTTATATCTTTGTCAAAATCAACGCTGAGCGAAAAATTTTAATATTATATTTTTTTAGTTTTAGGCTCACTATTCAAAATAATATGAATTTTTTGTTTCATTAAAAAATCAGCGAACTGTATTACTTACTGATTGTTATTCTTGATATTATTATTAATGAATTACTTTTTCAAAAAAAATATCAATCCAATAAAAAATTAATTTATAAATATCGTCACCAAATGTTGGCATAACCATTACCGACGGATTACCTATAAATTTATATGTATATTTTGTGAATGAAATAATGATCAATTACCGACCAAATAAAATTTGTTGGCAAAGAGAATAGCCAACCACATATAACAGCCAAATGAAATTAGTACACTTGTCCGTTCTACAAAAATTATTTGATGAGTATGCTACCTTATTGGACGTTTATGTTCATAAGGGACAATACACTGATTGAGAGTTCATGAAAATTCATTAGATTTTAGAAACAAAAGAATAGCTAGCTAGCTGGAGCACATTTCATGGAGGTCTACGTAGGGTGGGCAAAAATCCGGCTCCATAGATATCCGTTTCAATTCATCCTGACGGGTGGATTTTATCCTATTCGATTAATAAATGTGATAGAGTAAAAATTAAAAATTATATTTGCTACGAATTTGGGTGGGCACTGGATAATACATAACCCGCCGTGAATCCCATCCAATTAAATTTTTATTTACTTGGTATTTTTTTTTAAAAAAAAAAAATTATATATATATAATTTAGTCTAATTAAATGGTGTTAAAGTTCAAACATTAAACAAATTGAACTTCAAATGAATTCTCTTCGTGACTTCGTTACTTTATGGCTGTGGATTTTTGTTGCTGTTACCGGCAAAATTGTAATAAATCAAATCATCATCCTTCCAATTTATGCTTTTATTTCTTTTAATTTTAATATTTTTATAATGTTTGGCTTTTCTTCAATATCTATTTTTCTTATTTTACTATTTGATTTATTATTGATATGTTCAACGATTAATTTTTTACTTTTTTTTATTTATTATGTTGAAATGGAACTATAAGCCTTTCTTATTTTTATTACGGTTATCATGCACAGTTTTGTTCTCATTTTCTTTATTTTCATTATTTTATCATATTTATTTAAATATTTTTATTAAAAGTAGATAATATATAATATTGAATAACATTTATTACAATTTCATAAAAATATGTATATGCAAATTAAATGGATTTAATATTAAAAACTTAAAAATAAAATTTTAACTAGAATTAGCGGATCTAATACATGTCTATCCCGACTTACCCGATCCATAGTAGGGCGGGTAATACATATTGCTTCATGGATAGAGGTAGGCAATACAATACTCGATTCATACTCGATCTGTTGTCATCCCTAGATCTATACATACACACAGCACGTGCACAACATCTCAATAACCATCAAATAATTTTTCTTTCATATAAAAACTTTTCCAATCAATTTAGAACCAAATTAAAAAAATTTCAAGCTTTTAGTTCTAGAATATCCCATAAGTAAATATATATATCTCTAAAACAAACACTTCTCTCACCCTCAAAAACAAAAGTAGTCACAATCTCAAAAAACAAAAATTAGAAGTAAACACAATTTGTTGAATATAAAATTTTTATAAAAAGTACACATTTTGAGATCAAAACATGGACCCTCATTGGCCACAAAAATCACATTCCTCCCCCAATCAAAATCAACATCAGCCTCACAATCCTCCAAAAAAATCAATCACACAACTTGCACTCAAGCCTTTCCTTTTTCTCTTTTCTTTTCTTATTATTTATTTTTTTCGTGCCAATAATATGGAAACTCTTAACTAAACCACACAATTTGGAATCCCATAAATCTCGATGACGGGACACGTTCACTTGTCACTTACCATACACAAAAATACCACCTTAGCGTTGACGTGTAAACTGACTCCCCACCCATTCTTCTCTTTATTCTGCTCCCTCACCTCTAAACCCCTCAAAATCATTTGTAATACACAGTCTTCTTCTTTCACAAAGAAAAACGAAATGTACAATCCCATGTATCAAGAAATCAAGAAACCAGTAAATCAAGAACCAAGAAACCAAGAAAATCAAGAATCAAGTAACCAAGAAGATCAAGAAATGAATCCATTATCGCTTCCATTAGAATCAAACCAAACCCATTATCGTCTTACTAATGATTATGACGACGATGATGAAAATCAACAAGAAAGTGAAGGGAAGACCCAGCAGAGTGACACTGGGGTGCCTGTAGGAGATCAAGATTATGGAAAGAATGAGAAACAAGAGACGAGAGGCAAGGCATTGGTGCAAGAATATGATTCTGGATGTGAAAGATTAAGGAGACATAGAATTGAAGTTGCAGGTAGGGTTTGGATTCCAGATATATGGGGTCAAGAAGAGCTATTGAAGGACTGGATTGATTGTTCTGCTTTTGATGCTCCTTTAATGCCTAACAGTATTATGTCTGCTCGCGCAGCTTTAGTTGAAGAAGGAAGAAGAGCAACTTCTGGAAGATTAAGAATAGAAAACAGGTGTTGAGTAATTTTATCAACGTAAAGATCATTCCTATTGTTTCTCAATTAATTAGTTTCCATTTGTTTTGATGATGATCTTCATGATTATGGAATCGTTAATTAAATTCCACAACATCATGAAATTACTTTACGTCTATTAATTATTTAACTAGTTATTCTGTTTCTATTGTGGTGGATGATTAACCTAATCTACCAGAAACTGGATTGATGTTGTGGTTTTTTTTTTTTTTGGAATATTTGTTGTTATTAAAACATACATGCTAAGACAATATGTTTGAAATCAAAGGACAATCTCCGTTTGATCCGTGGAAAAATATTTAGGGAGATGAACAATCACAAATTCTGGAACGATATTCTGGAACGACATTAGTTAGATGTGGAGATATTCTTGTAGAAAAATCTAACCACAAGTTTTAGTACGTAAGCTCAATGGTGCAGGAAGGGTTTTCGGATCAGAAAGGTTTCGAATTTAGATTCGAGTCAATATCATAAAATGGCATCCACAAAATAACGGCTCTAATAGATGGCTGCTTCTCGTGTATCTTGATATTAACCGGCCAATGATTCTGCATTATCAATCATGAATAACCTAGTTGAACAGCGCAGCAACAATTATATTGGCCTCTGACGCACGTCTTCTTGCCTACATTATCTATTTACATATTGTGCATATAATAACGAATTGGTTAAAAATTGTGCATTTTATACCGAATTGGTTAAAAATTGAAAACCTCAATTAAGGATTAAAAATTGAAAATCTCGATTAGACCTTTATTCTACGAAAGCTTTTTTTTATAGTGTTTTAAATATTAAAATTACATTTTATAAAATATTTAACTTTTAGCATTTGATGAAAAGCTACTTACTCAAACAGCTGAATATACCTTAAAATGGTAAATGGATGAAACTATAAATGCCCTGCTCCACATTTCTTAGAGGGAGTTTCTGAATAACAGGGTTAAAATTAATTAACAATAAAACGCCAACACTTGCACTCCATATATTTGAATATATTTACTTAAAACATTTTCTGGACACAGCACAAAAATATTTCCAACAAGCATGTCAGATATTACTTTCTTTAAAGTAATTTTATTGACACAACAGGGTAGCGTCCCTGTCTATGTTTCCCTACTTAACTAGTATGCTAAACATGTTGGACAGCTTAGCATTATTGGTATATCCAGCTATGTATTTGTTAGACAGCAAGGCAACTGTCAACTTGATCAACCCTTGTTGAATTTTAAGGCCCTGAGTTCTAATGCCAGGGAGGGATAAAAACAAAAGTTCATAACCAAATTTGAAGACAAAATTGAACACTGTAAAAATTCAAATGATTCTGCTAACCCAATCGCTGTGACAATTCTCTAGTAAATTTTATAGAATTTCTTGATTTCACAAAAAAAGAAAGGAAAAATTTTGAAAAAGGCTGACTACTTAGGAAGATTGTTTCTACAACTTTATGAAACAATACAAGGTTTATAAATATATATATATATATTTTTTTTTTTTTACAACTTTATGGAAACAATACAAGGTTTATAAATATATATATATATATTTTTTTTTTTTTGGGGGTTTTTTTTTTTTTGGGGGGGTGGGGGGAAAGAAAAGTAAAATCATGTAAGAGTTGCCAGCTCCCATATCTTTACTGTTCCGTCATCACTTGCAGAAGCAAGAAGCCGATTCTCCTGTCATATTTAAACAAAAATATACAGCAGAATGTTAAACACAAATCACTAAGCAAATAGAACCAAAAGAGGAAAATATGAAATAAGTATTAAACTAAGAATATTCTGGTGTCATGCGCTAAGAAGAAAGTACATGAAAGAGTTCAATATAAAACAGGCAAGATGGGAGATAAGAAATATCATGCATCACTTTGTTTGCTTTTGAGTGTATTAAAAGTGAATGGATAAATCAATCACTAGAAGACCGCGGTAACTTTTAAAATGATTTTATTTTGCAAACAGTTATTCAAATTAGAAGCATTATTGTTGTCAAACTAACACGGAATGATTAATCCATCCACCACCCACTTTAATCATATTTGATGATGGCACTCAATTTTCAGTACTTATAAAGTAATTTATCTAAATATAGTCTCACTAATTTTATAGAAGAAATCTTACTCCAGGTCCCCATTGCACTGAATTTATGTCCATATCATGAGCCTTTTCTCCTTTCAACAGTAGTCTACATGAAGAACCATTAACCTGTAACAAACATAATTGAGATTATTCGATTTAGTTCTTTTCCAAATTCAATAGGCAAAATATGGGACCAAGAACAAAATTAAGGCATCCAGAAATTCCAAGGAACCATAATAGTGAAGTTCATGAAGTCACATTTCCTTTATGTTTCTTTAGAAATTGTTGACCCTTTCACACCTATAACTCAGAAAATTGTTTCATTTGGTTTAGATATTCAGATCTGAGCAGAGTGTGATTCCATATCAACAAACACAAAGGGTCAAAAAAATGAATAAATCACTTCAAACAGGATCAATATTACAGCAATATACTTGTGGCCAATTTTTGCAATGACTAGCAAACTCCATAAGCAAATAACTTGCAAGTGCAATTCTGATAATACTGCTCAAGGTAGTAAATATCATACATGTGTTTAAGTGTATGTGTGCACATAGGAAAGCACACAAGCATATGTTCATATACTTCTAAATGTATCATAAGAGTAAGCATTAATACTGCTTCAACAACAATGTAAAATGGAACAACTGCCATGCTAATTAACCAGTAGATATAAACGTGTGGGTGAAATGATTAAATACCAAACCATCTTTACTCTCCACAAAAAGTCGAATAGCATCATCAGCTGCTCCACTGGCTATAATACCTTCCCTGTCACATTCAGATGAAAAAATAATCAATTTAAGGCCAGTGAGTAAAAGAAATATCTTGGTGGAGGAGAGAAAATTAGAGTTCAACTTCAAGTGTGAAGAAGAAGAAACATTCTCATATTTTACTTAAGAGATTCAATTTCAAGATACAAACAAATTGATGAAATATATAACCAAACAGGCCCGTCATAACAACCTTTTTCCACTTTCTTTCCTATTTCAAATCAAGGGACGTGAAACATGGATTATTCAATCAAATAGCAAAGTCAATGAAAGATTATTCAATCAAGGGAAAATTAGAGTTCAACTTCAAGTGTGAAGAAGAAGAAACATTCTCATCTTTACTTAAGAGATTCAATTTCAAGATACAAACAAATTGATGAAATATATAACCAAACAGGCCCATCATAACAACCTTTTTCCACTTTCTTTCCTATTTCAAATCAAGGGACGTGACCATGGATTATTCAATCAAATAGCAACGTCAATGAAAGATTGCTAGATAACATTAGGCATGGCCACCGGTTCGATTCGAACTGGAACCGAACCGTACTGTAGACGAACCGGAACTGGACCGAAACCGGAGGTTCAAAATTTTAAACAGGAACCGGCGGTATCGGTCTGGGTCAAACCGAAAATTTTTTATTTTTATTTTCAAAATGATAATCACTTAGCCTATTTTATGCATCTCTAAAAGTCTCAATAATATTATACTACAAAAGGTCTCAAATAATATTTACTACATAATATACTTTAGTTAAGAGATTTATTTTTTTAAAATACACCTTTACTTTAAAAGTTTTAAAAATCATAAAAAGCTTAAATTGGTAAACAAAAAGAGAAACTATTTAGTCTAATTATATTAATTTATATTAAAAAAAACTTTTTTTCTTTACCCTTTTAAATTGTTTGCCTTAAGTTTAAAATTACATTCTTTATGAAGCATTTTTTTCAAATTTTCTTATACTTTTTTAATTATACATGTAAACAAAATAAGTGATAATTTATTTGATTATTTTGTAAAATTAATTAATTTTATTCCTAATATAGATACAAGCATACCTAAATTTATTTAAAATAAAATTTACCAATGATTTTTCTTAAACTCATATTAATATGTACGAAGAAAGATGTAATATTAAAACCGACTTAACAAAAAAAAAAAAAAAACATAATCGCGGAAACAGTACAACGAAACCGTCGGAAAAAAAAAAAAAAAAAAAAAAACATATATCGCCGGAAACAGTAAACGAAACCGTCGGTTCATCGGAACTGCGCCGGAACCAAAGGTTCAAAGGCCGGTTCAGGTTCAACATTTTAAAAAATTTGAACCGTCGGTTTCCTGAACCGGAACCCGCGGTTCAATGAACCGGCCATGCCTGGATAACATTAGCCAATCGCTTGCACAAAATTTCATTTGAACTCCAGATTTCATGGCTGTTGGTTTGGTCTCTCAACTCAAGTCCCGAATGGTACCTAAGCTGCATACAAACAATGAATTTGTGGTATTCTGCAGAATAAATTACAACAATGGTTACACTTAGTTCCTAAAGGTCACATATTTGCCATTTTTAAAACACTAAATTTTTTATTTTTGTTTCAACAGGAGATCACCCATAGGGATCCGATAACCAAATGGTAATAATACTTCACAAAGAAAGGATGATAGAGTAATAGAGGGGTAAGAGAAAGAAGAAGATTGCAAAATACAATGGCAGAGTTGAAATTCTTTTTTTTCTTTTTTTTTTTTTTTTTAAAGTTTTCTTTTTTTTTTTTTTTTTTTAAGCTAGTCATTTTGGGGCACATTTGCAAACTAACTATATGAGAAAATAAGGATTTCTTTTGAAATAAAAATATTTTACTTTAGTGTTATGCTAGGTATTGCCCAAGTCACTGGGACATTCCATTTTTTTTTTTTTTTTTTTTTTTTTTTTAAAGCTTAGTTCATTTGGGGGCACCATTTGCAAACTAACTAATGAGAAAATAAGATTTCTTTTGAATAAAATATTTTACTTTTAGTGTTATGCTAGTATTGCCAGTCACTGGATTCCAATGATAACTTCATAATTGAAACAAAATTAAAATTTAATGACTAAAAAATGAAAAATTGAAGTTATATAACCTTAATGAAACTAAATGCAAATTTTAGTGATCATCAATATAATTTTACCCATATCATAGGTGTCAATTTAGCATTCAACAAAAATCACTTCTTTACAAATCAAGGAGATGACCAATATTTATCTCGCCTATGCATTTTAAACCTCAGAATATTGTAACCAATGTCCAGAGGTGTCTAATGGTGCATGCATTTCCTTTTCCTATTTTTGGACTGCTAAACATTGATAACAGGAAAAAGTATGGGCAATGAAGAAGAGACAATCCTAAATAAATCCATTTTACACATATTATTGTAGATTGCTCAAGACCAAATATTGGAACCCAAATCCATGTAATTATTGCAATTAATTGAAATTTCACTACCTTGACCAGTGAACCGAAAAAATTGTCCGATCATGATAACCAGAGAGAGTACAAACGTGATTCCTGAAAAAAAATGATAAAATATTTTATTAATAATTTCAGGAGTCTAGTTTGCTCATAGTGTACATGCTGTAACTAGAAAAGGTAAATGAAAAAATAGCTAGCGTACAACTTCATATTTCTGTCAAATTACACCTAAAGATAATATGATGCTATTGACATTCTAAGACCATATCTTGTAGCTGAAAACTATTTTTTCCTGAATGAAATCAATGATAACAAATAGTAAAAATATTTTTCACAAATTAGAAGAAAACAGTAACCTTAATTTTTTGCAAAGAACTATAATAGTAAAATCAATGAGAAATTACTACATTTCTATAGCATGTAGTGCTTTTCTTGCTATTCAAAACAGCCTATCAAAATTTAAAGTTCAATATTACTCGCACTATTCTATTTTTCTATGACTATCTGGTACTCCTGCTTTCCTTAGAAATGCATTTAACTGTTCATAGTCAGAGTGACTAAATATAAAATCCCAAATCTATCCCTGTTTGCTATTTTGAAACGATTATAATTTATAATTGAAGAAATACCATATTTCTTTTGGTTAAGAATGAATTTGGACAAGAAATACAAAAATTGAAAGGTACGACAGAACATTTGGGATTGAGTAATTCAAATTTTTAATGATAAACACCACATCACTTGACTTAGAGAATTGGCTTGTGTCATTACCAACTCTTTGATTCCTCCTTTATTCACAGCCAAATATGCTAAGTTATAATTCTGGTTATTTGCAGAGTTACTGATGCTTCCAAGCACAGAAGCTACTACTTATACTTAAATGTTTTCCATTAATTATTCAAATACTTTGCATGAGGTTTCCACAATATTGGGGAACATCTTTGTTTCTTCAAATTCCATTCCAAAAGTACAGCCTGTCAAATATAGAACATCTAGAGTCTAGATCTATTTGTTTACTCAGAAACAGAACATCTCAAACAGCATTATAGATACAATCATACTAGAAGATCAAAAAAGTGCAAAGTTCCTCACCAGGGTGCATGGCCATCACCAGATGCAGTCCTTCCAATATCTGATTCCCATATCTTTAGGGTAAGATCGTCGCTGCAAATGAATCCAGTTATCTTTAAGTTGCCTTTGAAAGAATCACTTTGCTTTTACTTAGGATAGAATTCCTCAATGTCATGAAAAAAATAATCCCAATCAATATCTAAACAAGGAAAAAAGATCCACGTACCTACAGCTAACCAATTTGTCTCCATCAGCATTAAAAGAAAGTGCCCAAACAGTAGAAGTATGACCACTGAAAGAAAGAAAGCCATGTCACATTAGGCCAATTACTCTAACGCAAAACAAATTGTCATTAGGCCCACACAAATATATACCCATGCGAAAGAAATCAAGTTCATGTAAGACCTAAAGATAGTAATTTTACTAATGTAGACCGAAAAAAATATGTCCATATAAACAATAGAAAGGAAAAGAATCAAAACAGCAAGGGAGGATGATGCAACACCAAGAAAGAAGTAAGGTAGTACTTGTTAGATTCACTCAAGGTCTGAACACAGTGCCAATCACCATCTTCATCCTCAGCCCAAACCTGTGAATAACAATTTTTTCTTACCAAATTTTTAATCCTATATGTATGATCTTGTCATCTAAGAGGGAATAACAGTCAATGTTTACAAAGATATTATAGAGAAAATTGAAAGCGGAAGGCAATGTAACCCATAAAGTACCTTAATAGTGTTATCATAACTACAAGAAAACAAAATGTCTATAGTTGGATGCCATTTAACCATTTTAACATCTTGAGTATGTCCTTGTAATACTGAAGCACACTCGAATTCATTCCCTGGCATTACTTCCCAAATCCAAACAGTTTTATCTCGACTGCATGTTGCCAGCAGAGTTCCAGAAGTATTCCAAGACACACTTTTGACTTCATTTTCATGACCCTATTTGCCAACCAAAAAAAAAAAGAGTGAAAAAAGAAAAAGGTGTGTGTATTATGGAGGAAGAGAGAAGTTGCATATCTACAATTCTAGTTGCCATGACAAGTATAGAAGAAACTTTTATTCAAACAAGCTATTATATCACATATAAAGAAATGACAACAAACAAGCTTAAATTTTTCCAGCAGCATGGACGGATAACATGTTTAAATTATAGACAAACCTCCAAAGTTGAAATGCATTCAAAATCACCTCCAATGCTTTTCCAAATGGCAGTAGTGGCATCAAAGCTTGCAGTGGCCAAATACGTCCCATCTGGGGACCAGTTGCAAGATCGCACAGTTCTTGTGTGTGTTTCTTCTAAAACTGCCTGCATAATCACATGTTATCAATATGAATTCCCAGATAAAATCAACTATAATCAATATAGTATGAGGATTTTTACATTTACCATCAATCTCAAAAGAAATGAGAAACACAGATCTAGAAATGAAAGACCCAGCACAATAAACAACCAACCAAAGTTGGAATGGTAACCTTATACCTTCACTGGCACTAGTCAACTCTATTTCATATTAGAAGTGACACGCCAATGTAAATATAATTTAATTAAAAAGCACACAACGAAATGTAAGAAAGAGCTAAATGTTCTTTCTACCACTCTGGAGGAAGAAAAACTATGCAACTCTGATCACTTGATTCCATACCTCGATTCAATATAACTTAATTAGCTTCATTAGTGCGAAAATTTACTTGAAGGAATATGCTTAGGAGATCCTTTTGCGTTTAAATCCTACAAAAAAATCAGTATTCTGACATTTGAAAAAATGGAAATAAAATGATAATCCTCCTTTGTAGTTTGTACACTCGAGACATGCAATAAATCACTTTTCCAGTTCTCGTATCAACAAATAAACCAGAATTCGCAAATTCTACTGCTTTTATTATAAGTAAGATAGTCATTTAATTTTTATAACAACTAGAAACTACAGCAAATAATCAATCATGCCTAATCCAACTACTTAACTTCACTTAATCTGATTCTTGATTTTGCAATTAAGAAAAAGGAAAAAAGCGGAGTTCGACTTCTACTTCCATTTCAAGTTCAACACTTATATTTACTCATCGACCAAACAGGAAATAGAAGCTAAGGAATAAGAAGTCAAAAACCTTGCAATCCCAAGAACGAAAGGTTGGATTCTGAGACCAGATTCGAACAGTCTTATCGCCGCTACAAGAAGCCAAGAGCGGTGGATACTCACCGGTACCGGAGGCTGGATGCCACGCGAGGCTCCAAACCCTATCAGCGTGGCCTTCGAGTTTTTGAATCTCTTTCAGCTCAAAGTTGCAGTCAATTAAATCCATGGAGCCAATTGCGAGAATGAAATAGTAAGAGAGATTTGATTGGGAAAAAAAAAAAATTTATGTAGTGATCGATTGGTATATTAAAGCCAGCAAAGAGTGATAAAGTGATCGGGAAAAGTGAAGCGCAGAAGTTGAAGTTTGCTACTTTGGCCTTTCGCGTTTCTCTCTTTCTTTCTCGAGAATAGTAAAAAGACGACCGGTTGAAAGTTTTACACGGGCTTCGTCCTGGAAAGGTGCCGGTGAATGTAACATTACGGAGAAGGAGTGTGGCTCCCACGTGGCGTAGTAATTTCCAATTTTCGCACTCCCAATTCACTGCGGTATTGTTCGTAATATTGAATCATTATATTATATTATATTATATTATATTATATTATATAGAAAAAATATAATACAATTCTTGGTTTGCGAAATACAATTAGTATGTCCCTGTCTTTTAGGAAATAGACTAAATGTCCTTGTAGTTTACTTTTGTCAGACTACAAGATCTTTTTCATGTAATTTTTGCATCTTTTTCATTAAATATCTTATAAAATAACGAAAATACCTGTTTTATTTTAAAAAACACAGGGACAGACTAATTGTATTTTTCAAACCATAAGGACTACATTGTAATTTCTCTACTATAATATTTTACTATCTCCCCTTTGACCTCTATGTTTTCTTATTGACTTAGCGGAAAATATGTAAAAATTGAACATAAGAATCTAATAGTGTAATGGAAGCAAAATATAAAGACAAATTAGTATATTTTAAAAAATACATGAACGAACTAGTTGTATTTTGCAAACCACAAGGATCGTACTATAATTTTCTCTATATATACACAGAGGAGAATCATAAAGTTCTTCTATATACTTACGTGGCATCATCTTAAGAAAGTGAGAGTCTTTACTATTTTAGTATTTGCTTTTAAATTGATTGAGAAAAATCTTACATTTTTTTTTAATTCTAAGATTATGCATCCCTTCAATTTCATTCTCTTTATGACTTTTATGAGTTTTAAATACTTCTCATTTTCCTTTTATAAAAACTTGTATACTGATGGTGGTGATAGTTTACCTTCTGCTGGGATCCTGAATGGCTTTCCTGCACTTTCTACTTCGGATTGGGAAAATTTGCATCTCCTATTTATGGAGGATGAAGTTATTCAAGCTTTGAGATCTATCAGTCCTTATAAGGCCCTAGGGCTAGATGGTTTTCAAGCTGTTTTCTTCCAAAAGGCTTCTAAATCGGTTGGTCTCTCGATCATTAATACGGTTTTAAATTTTCTTAATTGTGGAGTTTTTTATCGCGTGGAATCTATGACATTTTGGTTACTCTTCTTCTAAAGGTAGCTAATCGTGAATATATTACTCAGTTTTGCCTAATAAGTTTATGCAATTTAACATATAAGCTTCTGACAAAAGTGTTGGTAAACCGCATGAAACATGTTCTTCCTTTTCTTATTTCAGCCAATCAAAGTAGTTTCATCCGAGGTAGGTGACTATATGATAATGTTGTCACTTTACAAGAGATTGTCCATTCTATGAAGGGTTGTCATAGATCTACAAAGTGGATGATTCTGAAAATTGATTTTGAGAAGGCTTATTACCTCCTTCGTAGGAATTTTGTTATTGAAGCCTTGCAATTAGTTAAGTCTTTAGCTTTTTGGAGCTCTATCATCCGTCGTTGTTTTGAGGCATGTTTTATGTGTATTTTGTAGAATGGCAAACCTTCGAATCCTTTCCGTCCTAAGCATGGTGTTCGTCAGGGTGATCAAATCTCTCTGTATTTATTCGTACTAGGTATGGAGAGGTTGGGACATTGTATTAATCAGGTTGTGGGAAATGGGTCTTGGCATCCTTTTTCAGTTAGTAGACGAGGTCCCTCAGTTTCACACATTTTCTTTATTCATGATATATCGCTTTTGCCGAGGCATCTCTGGAACAAATCAATGTTATTACAGATTATCTTAATCGATTTGGGGCAACGTCGGGTCAAAGGAATAATAAGGCGGAGTCTCAAATGTTTTTTTTCCCTGAATGTTGACCTGGAGCTGCAGATGCAAATTTGGCAGGCAACTGGTATGCGGTTATCTACGAATATTGGTTCTTATTGGCGAGTTCCAATCTTCTATGATCGGGTAGGGAAGCATGATTTTGATTTTTTTTCTTTTGCAAGTAGATAAGCAATTGGCAGGATGGAAAAAAGGTCTCTTATCTTTTATAGGACTTGTTGGATATCAGTGCAGTGATAAACTCCAAGATTGATTAATAATTTATTAAAACAAAATAATAACGGGAAGGGCAACCAAAATAATACTAAAACAAAACACCAAATAAAATTATATTAATAAGAAGTAAACTTTCACAAAGCTTAAGGAAAGAATTACTTACTTGCTTCTTGGACTTGGTTTTTGCTTGGTTGGTTACAAATGAGGTGAGGAGTGGTATTTATAAGCATTTCCACCTCCTCAATGTACGGCTATGATTTACTTACAAAAATGTACAGTGGAGATTACACGGAGCATTCTAGAGTAGGTGAGATATTTCATTAAAATATCTTGTGGGAGTATTCTAGAATGTCCTAGGTATTTACACACCATGTGGGCATGTACGGCTATGATTTACCTATATAAATGTACAGTGGATCTGATACACGGAGCCATACGAGTGAGATATTTCATTAAAATATCTTGTGGGAGTATTCTAGAATGTCCTAGGTATTTACACACCATGTGGGCTTGGGACATCCATCTTTGGGCTTAGGGTTCCCACCTTTGGGCTTGAAGCTTACCAAGTATTTAACTTATTGTGGTAGCCCATTTTGGTGGTTGTCTTTTCTAAATTAATCGGTGATATTTTAATACTCTCCCTTAAGGATTAATTTCTCTTTCTTCATCATTCCCAACTATTGGCGAAAATCTTCATATTTATTTGCGTTTAAACTCTTTGTAAAGATATCGGCTGGTTGATCCTAAGATATCGGCTGGTTGATCCTCCGTCTTGATATATTTCATTTTAATCTCTCCTTGTAGAACCTTCTCTCTGATAAAGTGATAGTGAACCTCCACGTATTTTGTTCTCGCATGAAACACCGGATTCTGAGCCATTTGTATAACCGAATGACTATCACAATTCAACGGAATCAGATAATCGAAGGGTTGATGCAGATCGTTTATAAGCTGTGACAACCAAACACTTTCCTGAGTTGCTGTTGCTGCCGCCCGATACTCAGCTTCTGTTGTGGAAAGTGACACTGTAGATTGTCTCTTGCTGCACCAAGAGATTACTCCTGAACTAAGACTAAATGCATAACCTGTTGTTGAGTGCCGAGTTTCGTGATCTCCTGCATAATCAGCATCGCAATATCCTTCCAACTTGATAATTTCACCTCTCTTGTATAAGATCCCATAATCGATTGTACTTATTGTACTTTTGGACATATTCCTCAAGTATTCTTCGAAACTGCTTCCAAGTGAGGTCTAGGCTTCTTTGCATAAATCGGCTGAACTTACGTTCCAACTGTTAAAGGAAATGTTTCCAGCTCGTGTCATAGTGAGATAGATTTAGGCTTCCCACTAGTTGTTTATACATAGTAGCTCTTCAAAGATCATTCCCTTCATGAGCACATAGCTTGACATTAGCATCCATTGGAGTAGATATTCGGCTTGGTTTCCATCATTCCCAAATACCTCCTTCAGCAGATCTCTGTGCATACTTCTATTGTCCGAGTTAACAAACCTCCTTTGGCTTCTTCTATTCTAACCAATCCAAGGAAAATCACCTGAGCTTTCCTAGCTCTTTCATCTTGAAACGAGTAAAGCAAATTCTCTCGGATGAGTTGAATTCTCTTTCGATATTGTCGCCATCTCTCGGATGAGTTGAATCTCTTCGATATTGTCGCCAGTGATTATTAAATCATCAACTTATACTAGCACTATAGCTAGTCTTCCTTCCTGATCTTTCACAAACAAATTGGAATCTGCTAGTGCCATAACATATCCATTCTTGATAAGGAATTCTGCAATCTTGCCATACCAGACCCTCCGTGCTTGTTTTAGACCATAGAGAGCTTTCCTTAGCTTGCACATATAGTTAGGACTCTCACAACTTTTGAACCTTGGTGGTTGCTCCATGTAGATTTCACGATCAACTTCACTATGTAAGAATGTGTTCTTCACATCCATTTGCCATAAATGCCATGACTTACTAGCTGCTAAAGCTAGTAATACACGCACAGTAGTGATCTTGGCAACTGGACTAAATGTCTCACCATAGTCCAAGCCATACTGCTGAGAAAATCCACGAGCAACCAGTCTTGCTTTACATCGCTCAATTGATCCATTCGAGCGAGTTTTGATTTTGTAGACCCATTTGCAAGAGATGAGTTTCACATCTCTTGGTTTTGGCACTAATTCCCATATTTGATTTTGCTCCAAAGCAGCAATTTCTTCTTCCATCACAGTAGTCCACTCAATCTTCTTTGATGCTTCTTCATAAGTTGTTGGCTCCTTTATCTCTGCTATAGCAGCATTTGCATATTTTGGATTAGGCCTTTTTTCTCGACCCGATCGCCGAAGTAGAGGATAATCTGGATCTTGTTCTTCTTGACTTGGCTATTATTGTTCGTATGCACCTATCTTCCATGGGCTCTTCGATTTCTCTTAAACTCTGGATGGGTCTGCTTAACCTTTCTCTGGGATGAACTCTCCCTCTCCTATCTTTTCAACTTTTTCTTGAATTTCTTTTGAGTCTGGTAGTAAGGTTGCTTGAGATGACCACCAAGATGATGCCTCATCAAAGACCACATTTCGTGAAATATGGCACTTGTTAGTTATAGGATCACAACATCTCCAGCTTTTTCTTTGCTCATCATAATCAACGAATATGCAGCGAACTGCCTTTTTTATCAAACTTGCTTCGAAGTTCATCCGAAATGAAGACATAACATACACATCCAAAAAATCGAAAAGGACTTACAGTTGGTTTAATGTTCCGCAGTTTCTGGAATGGGGATGTAAACTCCAGTTCTGGAATGGGGATGTAAACTCCAGTCTTACTTGAGGTAGTCTGTTGGTGACGTACACAACTGTCTTCATGCACTCTGCCCAAAATCTAGCTGGCACATTCTTCACATGGAGCAAACTCCAGTAAATCTCCACTAGGTGTCGATTCTTTCTTTCAGCAACTCCATTCTGCTGCAGTGTTCTTGGACATGTGAATTGCCTTCGAATGCCTCG